GCCATTCACCTTTACCTTCTCTGGACACACACACAGTGCAAGCCTCTCACCCTTTGTGCACATCCCCAACATGAGCACCTACTTCTGTACACTCCTATGCAAAGTTGGACCTCCACAACATTGACTCCTCATCCCCGAACCCACAGCCTGCACCCCCACCTGAGCATACCCATGGCATGTACTAGCTTAGTGTACACCCCACCCCCACCCCCGTGCACTCAGCCACAGCTTACACACTTCACACCCTGCTCACATCACAGCACATGCTCACACTCTGTGCCTGTGCACAGTGTGTTCCAGCCCTCTGGGCTCAGCCTAGCACTCTCCCCACGCCCTCTGTGCCCTTCCGTGGCATGTAGCCCTCACTCTTCAGGACCACGGCATAAACCCCATCTCTGTGCACGACCACTTTGAAAACCCTCTACCCCCAGCACAACTGTTTCCCACACACTTCCTCCAGATTTTGGTCCTAAACCCTCAGGCCTCAGTGGGACCCCATCTCTGTGCACGACCACTTTGAAAACCCTCTACCCCTAGCACAACTGTTTCCCACACACTTCCTCCAGATTTTGGTCCTAAACCCTCAGGCCTCAGTGGAGATGCTGAGTTGGAGGCATCTTATGCTAGAGAGAGCTGCCCCAAAGGGAAGGCCAGCCTGATGTAGATTTTCCTCCAACCCGTCTTTCTCTCCTGTACAGAGAAGAACCGAAGTTATGTCATCTCCTCCTTTACGGAACTCAAGGCTTATGACCTGCTCTCCAAGGCCTCAGTGCAGTTTGTGGAGTATCCTTGAGGGTTTAATAGCCAGGGTTCCTGGCTGGGCTGGGAAGGGAGGAGTGAGGGAAGTCCTGGGAACAGGGCTCCCAGGGTAGGCTGTTGGGTCCTTCTGGTGCAGGCGGCCTTGGGCAGGGTTCCTATACTCAGGGGCAGCTACAACAAGCGCCAGATGAGCCGCATTTACCCCAAGGGCACCCGCATGGATTCCTCCAACTACATGCCCCAGATGTTCTGGAATACCGGATGCCAAATGGTTGCCCTCAACTTCCAGACGATGGGTGAGGGCACTCCCAGGCCCCTGAGAACCCTTCCCTGGTCCCTGCCCCTCCCACTTTACCCCATCCTCTTTAGAACAGAATGGAGTGTCCTGATGCTTGTTTGGCCTCTGGGAGCACACTCAAATGTGTGAGCATTTGGGGGTACAAATGCCTTAGCTCACACCTTTATAATTGCACATGTATGAACATGTCTTGGCATGGGTTCTGCCGCTCTGCCTGACTGTGTCTGTGGGAACACCTGCTTCACCTGCCCCAACTCCTACCGTGAGCTTGTGGCCTGGTCTTAGCTATGTTCCTTGCTAGACCTTTCCTGAGAGATGAGACACCCCAAGGAAACAGGCTGGCACATGAGAAACCCTTGTCCTCATGGTCCACCCAACCTCCCCATCCACGAGACAAGGAACGCTGGGAAATGCAGGAAATAGAGGCTGGGCACAGACCCTGGGCTAGGTCTTTTTCACCAAATGCTCTTGTCCCTCCAGACCTGCCCATGCAACAGAACATGGCGCTGTTTGAGTTCAACGGGCAGAGTGGCTACCTCCTCAAGCATGAGTTCATGCGCCGGCCGGAGAAGCAGTTCAATCCCTTCTCGGTGGACCGCATTGATGTGGTGGTTGCCACCACCCTTTCCATTACGGCAAGGCCCTGAGGCAAACAAGTGGCTGGGAAGGCTGGAATTTTGAGGAGAAAGGCACAAGAGCCCCCCCCCCTCCACTCCCAACCCCCTTCCCTGATATCCTGAAAACTTTAGCCCCAGCCAGCTCCTGCAGTAGCAAGTTGCCTTGGAAACTGCCTCCTCCTCAGTACTGGAGGCTGCTTCTTGGTCCCCATGGAAACCAAGGGGAAAGGCTGAGGCTGGGCTGGGGGAGGGGAGAAAGAGTGGGCAGAGTGGGG